TCTAAGTTCAAGTTAAGCACTAAGTTAAGTTCAAAGGCGATCGATTCCTTTGGATCCATACAGGATGTCTCAACCCCCCTACCTATCGGTCCGCAGTCGAGTCCGATTTTAACGATTTAGGTATCTATCGAAAGCTCTCGAAAAGGCGAAAAAACAAGGAGGAACATTATGCATTTTTATTCGCTAATTTTAGGTCCAAAAACCATGAAAACTGCTAATTTATGCAGGATTTGCATGCTAATTGCGAAATCCTACTATATATAAAAAAGTAGTGTTTGTGTGTGTGTGTGTCGATTTGCATGCAACTTCCGTCTCTATGTCCGGAGGATAACTCAATAGGGGATGAATATTAGGGTACGTATGATACGTCATTAGGTGCGTAATGGCTCTGCGATGACTGCACGCATAACAGAATTATCGAAATACGCTATTTTCGATATTAAAAATAAGTTTTTCTAAAATTTTCGAGAATCCTCTTTGGTAGGAAACAATTAGCATATACCGGAAGTAGAAGAAGCCTATATGAAGGATGAAAGGAAATCTTTTCATTTTTTCGGAGCTTGATTGAGGCGGAATTATGCAGTTTACAATTTCATTTGTCCAAACGGAGCCAGGGCTGAAAAGTCGCGAAGCGGCTTTTCAACCCTGGTTCTTGTTGAAAAATTTCGGGTTTTTTAGGAAAACCTTAAATATCGATGGCACGAGATTTAATCTTGGAAGACGAAACCCGCTTGTTTTCTCGGCTTTTCGAGCGCTTTCGAACGGTAGCAAGATCATAAGAATCGGGCTTGACTCCGGACCGCTAGGTAGATGGTTTTTTTGGGACACCCTGTAGTACGTCATAAAAACGGCTGGAACATAGGCGAAAGCAGGCTGAATTTGAGCTTTGAGAGTATTTGGTAATTCCGCACGCATCGAAAAAAGGATTTTTATAGAATATTGTTTTATCGAATTTTTGTGTGAAACTGCAACGGCACTAGGAACTGATTGACAGACAGGTTTCACCGGTCCGGTGCGATTCCATCTACCAACCATTCAATTTCGATTTGGGTTACCAATTTCACGGTTATGATAAGGCGGGCTCATTAAAATGCGACGTCTCGGAATAATATAGCCACCGTAACCGGCTGTCGTTCCATTCATCAACACTAAGCTTGTGATTGAATAACAGTTATTGAGGAAGCCACTTGATTTTGATAAAGGATCTAAGCGAACAGGATATCTCGACATGGTTTAATTGGCTTAAATCAATAACGGAGTTATATGGGAAAAAACTAATGTGTTTGTCCGCTTGGAAGTAAGTACCAGTTTATGGATTTCATGACCTTGAGCATAGCATTTGTTGTTTATGGATACTTTCTGGATTTGATTAAGCAATAACCACTTTTTTATTGTCTCGCTCCAAATCACAATTTTGCCTAAACGAAGCCGTGCCCGGTGCGTGTTACGGCGCCGCCAAATCCATAAAGAATCGATCCAATCCATCCAATCCAATAAAAAAATGGACCCCCTCTCGGAAAGGTCGGATCGACATAATCATTGCACCATTCGAAAACTCCCGGAAAGGCGAGAAAACAAGCGCTTTTCGTTTTACAAAATTTTTTAGCCCGCGTTCGATATTCAACAATTTCTTAAAACTTAAAAAGCGTAAAATCACAGTCTCCTGTTTGCTTTAGCTGGCAATTAAAATACTGATTTTGCATAAAATTTGCACTTTTCACGGATTCTGGTCCTAAATTTAGTGAATTAAACCGACCATACTGAAAAACTAAAAGTGTTGGTATTCTTGCCTGATAGGTACACATAGGGTAACGGGGGGAATAAAATAACGGGGCACTCATTATTATGAAATTTGCAAATACTGTGGGATTTTGCGAGTGCCACTCGGTAGAGCGTCGAAAAATATACTAAGAGAATTAATTTCAGCCCGAAATAATATGTAATATGTAATGGAAATTTTTTATTGAATAAACAAAAATTGAGGAAAATCTATTTATGGGCAGCACATAGGATAACGGGGGGGGAGCCAAATTTTTGAGATTTTGGTTTTTACAGCCCGAAAAAAGTATATTTAAAAATACTTTTATCATAAAAAAAGTTGAAGTGCCCCCCCGTTATTCCCCCCGTTATCCTATGGGTACCGAAAGCCGCGAAAAATTAAATCTTGGTGCTCAATTCCGGTTTTAAAAAATTCGCGAAAATCATCTTTTTTCTGAAGCATTGTCGGTTTTCAAAAATGTGTCCATCGTGTTCAGGAGGCTTGAAAACCTATTTACCGAAGTTTTGTTAGTTTTTTGCTGGTCGAGCCCGGCTATTCTGAAGGCCCAAAGTCGCGGGTGCTGAAACCACCGCGATAGGCTTACAGGCAGGGACGTAGCGTAAGGTGGGCCCCCTCGGCCCGGCCCCCCGAAATCGTCCGGGGCCCGAAAATTTCATAAGGGGGGACCCTTATGATTTTAATTTTCTCAAAAATTTTGCTGCCTGCGGCGCTATTTTTCACGCTTTTACTGCTATTTGTAGAGCCTTTTTTTTCCAAAATTTTTTCGCCTGCGGCGCTGTTTTCTCGTTAATTTGTTGAGTTTTGCGAAAAATTTTTCGGGGCCCCGCCTCGAAATTTTTTCTGGCTACGCCCCTGCTTACCGGTGCCGCCGAAATGACCCCGCGTGTCCAACTTCTCGGCCTCCTGGAAGCGAGTAAGAGTCCGATATGCATTTTGAAATTACTTGCTTAAAGGTTTTGACCCTGCTGAACACGATGGACACATTTTTGAAGATGCCTCAGAAAAAGTTGATTTTCGAAAATTTAAAATTTAAAACCGGAATTTGAGCATCAAGATTTAATTTTTCGCGGATTTCGGGATTGCCATCGGATTGCCAGTAGCAGAATTGGCCCACCCACAATTTTCATAAAATTTGGATGTATCGGGTTCGTACAACAAACGATTTCCCCACCGGACATCACTTTGACCGCTACAGTAAGAATCGATCGAATAATTTTGGTTTGAATAGGACCCAAGTAAAGGCAAGGCGGTTTTGCATGCTAAAGATATATCCAGACGCTTAGACGATAAAATCAAGCTAAACTAGCTCAGCTTTACGGGTAAAAGCGAATCAATAAAAAGAACCGTAAATTCCGAATCCTCCAAGAGAACTTTCAAGAGGCAATGGCAAAACTGAACGCCCGTTGTTGTGCGCATGCAATAAAAAGCCCACCACAGCCCAATATTTCACATACTACTTCCCTCTAACCGGTTGCTGTCCGTAGCGTAGAACTTGGTAAACATGTTGATTGCCATGCACAAAAAAGCGGTAATGAGGCTTTTCCGGAAATGCCGAAAGGCTTTGGCCGACTAAGCCGTCGGTGGGCGCTTATTGCATCTGGTTTTGTACAGTCAAGTGTCGAGCAGCGATCCTTGCTCTCGGATTTACTGGGAAACACATCAGGCAGGATGGATTTTCTTTCGCTACAGTTTTCGCTGATTCATACTTTCCATTGAAGAATTTTTTACAATAAATTTGCAGTTGCAAAAATACTGGGAATCCTATGAAATTTTTGTGGTATCTAAAGGCATAATCGGGATTTGTAAGAAAGCAATTAAAGGAAAAAAAATCAAGGGTTCTGTTACGCTTTTCATTATTAGTATGTTAAAAACATTACTTGTTACATGCACTTTTTTTCTAACAAACTAACTTTTTTCTAAATTTTTCTAAGATTTTTCACTGGCCATAATATAGTTAGTTATTTTGTCTAAAGTAAATTTTCATCCGGTTTAAACAATTTATGATTTTACGAATTTGTCAATGCCATTTGGGGTATTATGTTGCAGACTTAAAAGTATTTAAACTCGCATAGAAAAATTTAGACGAAATTCCAGGAAATAGACTCATTCATAAAAACTGCAAAAAAAATCGTTTTTATACCGACGTAAAGTGCGTTTATTCAGATGGCCACCCGGCCATAACATGCCCCTTTCACGCTCTCACTTGTAATCCGTGATTTCCTCAAAAAACCCTCGACTCTAAGGGCATTCCATCGAACGCCCGGGCAGACGTCTGCTGAATTTCACAACCTTATCAACGAATGCCCCCTTTTTTCCCAATTCACACTATGAACATTTACGGGATCAGGACCGGGACGGGGGTTACAGTAGCCGAGCCCCCCGCGAACGCATTTTGCTGATTCCCCCCACTATCCCACGTATGCAAAGAGCAATTTTTTGTTGCCTGAAATCCGCTGTGATTTGAGCAACCCGCGGATTTTTGGGTTACCGTATCGTTGTTTTAGATCACTAATTAGCGCTTCTAACTTGCAAAAGCAACGATCTGTAGATTTTAGAATTCGAAAAATGTTACATTCTAAATATTTAAGCCTTCCCCCAATTTCGAATGCGAAAACGAAATTAGCTTAATTAGATTCATTTGCCATAATCTCGACATCCCCCAAGAGAGAAAGCCCCGACAGCCATAACGCGGAAATTTTCTTGACTTGAGTTTAGATGCGACTCGCTTTTCGACAGCCGCTTTGCGTGACGGATTTTCGCTATCGGGATTTTGGCTGTCGCGATTTGGTTGTCGAAATTTTGAATGTCGGGATTTTTGTCTCTCGCCATTTAGCTTGTCGGAATTTTCGCGTTTTCCGTTTTAAATACGCGCACCAAAGGACCTCATCACAAGTGGCTGAAAATTCAACTTTGATAAAATGACTTTTCGCTACATCTTTGCGTGCCATCCCTCGGTGCTGAGTGGATTTTGATAAAGTTTATTACATGGTATTACATGATAAAGTTTATTCGAAAATCTTCGATCATATTGAGTATCTACATGCATTGAGCAAACGGCAATCGAGGGGGGGGTCTCCTGATTGGCTCCATCGAAAACTCGAGAAATCATTTTAAAGCTCATTCAATCGATTTAAAGGGATGGGACAATAGAGGAACCAGTAGAATCATAATCTTGTGACTTGAGCGGCGGACGGGTTCGCGTTTTTCATCCAACTAGCTATCCACGAATGCCGATTCTCAGCTTTTCCACCAGGATTTTCCAGCGTGGGACGTCGAAGCACCTAAAAAAGCTTGGTCCTTGAAATTTGCATACGAGCAAAAACTCGGATTTAAATTTGACTATAGGAGCAGGAGGTTTTCATTTTGTGGTCGATTTCTGAAACCGACGCTTTATGTTGAGGCTCGTGATCAAAAGTTCTTCGTAAATCACCGTAAGATCGCCGAAATTTGCATGTTAACTATTTAAGTGCTTCAGGAGTTCCTAGAATTAAGAAGTTTGTAAGATTTTTATTAACAATTTTTATAAATTCTTGAGAAAAGCACAGTTTCAAAAGGTTCAAATTAAACAGTAGGGATAAAGTCACACTGGGAAAGCGTCGGGATTTGAAAAAGCTGGGGTACCTACCGTGTTGTTGACCTTGATTTCGCTGACACCCATTCTCGGCCGTTGCGCACGATGGGTTATTGGGGCATGGAGGGTAGGAGGTAGAGCTTCTTCGTGAGGAGGCAGGGGTGGAGGATGAGCTGGGGGAGGAGGCCGAAGACGGACTGTTGGGGAGACTGAAGCATGAGGGGATAAGCAATGGTTTGAAAGTAGCGGACAGGTATAGGGAAAAAAAGAAATAGATCAAAAATTTGATAAAGGTAGCTAGAAAAATTTATCCGTATTCAATTTTTTGGAAAATCTTAAACCTTTCTTGGTAAGGACTGATAATAACATTTGACCAATTGACAAGGAGCACGAGATAATCGTCTACTTCGAGATATATTAGACGTATTACGGTACGATAAAAAACTATAAAATTCTACCTGACATTCCTTTTGAAGAAGACACTTTCTGTAGCGGTACATCATCCCCAACCGAAAGGTTGATGATGTAGCGCGAATTTCGAGCCGATTCGGTTGGCAAGGGTTCTCTCACGTTTTGCTGCGGCTCCTCGGGTAGGGGGTTGATCCTTAATAGTGTTTTATTTAATGACAGAGTTTTTCGACTTGCTAGCATAAAAAAGCACTTTAAAGTGTAAATTTTAAATTTGCTGCGAAACGCAGAAGTCGCGTTTTTAAAGATGGTTGTAACTGATGGCTTTTCGCGACGGTCACCTGATATTCAGACTTGCAGGGCCCTTTAAAAACAACTACTTTTATGGATTTCCATCGATGGCTAAACCAATCATATTTTTAGTGCAAATTCCGTAAAAATGCAAGCCTTTTAAGATACCAGGAATCAAATTTGTACCCTTGAACAGCCCGGTTTATCACAGCCATACCGTAACCAAATCTAGTTTCCTTTCGAAAACAAAAATCTGAATTCAATTCCCGATATAAATAATTTTTTTAACTGATCCATTAATTTACTTTCAAAATTACCTACTTTTCTTTGATTTGATTCAAGAAATTCTGTTGCTATGTTTCGTTTTACTGTCTTTTACAGTATAGTCAAGAACATCGGATTTGTCTGTACCCGATTGTAGGCTGTTTTGGGGGAAAATTCCACGAGCCGCATGCTCCCGTCTGGGACATTTTCAAAAAAAAAACGCCTAGCGCTCGGAATTTTGCCATTTTTAAGATCGCCGATTTAAGTGCATGTCAAACCACAAACACTTCCAACCTCAAAACACACTCAAAAATCATCGTTAATCCGCGGTGGTAAATTTTGCTTGCCGAAAAAGGAGGAGGGCAGCTCAAAATGGAAATGGCGGGATACGGTAAGGGATTACGGGGAGGGGGGAACATGGGCTGGAACAGGGGTTCTGAGAAATTATATGAGCATCGGGCCCGATAACTATGTGGGGCCCAGGGCACGCCCTTTATATAGTGAAGACCACCCACTGTTGACAGAGATCCTACCTTATATAATTTTGGCGTGTATCTCTGTGTGTGGGTGAGTGTGGTTGTCACTTTCGAGGCCCGATTCGAGGGGCTTCCCGTGTCCAAAATGCGCTAATGCTCCGTCAGTTGGGGGAATCGACCCTCCTGTTTCCGATGGCGTTTTAGAATCCCGATAAAATACAAGTTTACAAAGTTCAAGCCGGTTTTATTGATTTTTGGGGTTCAGGAGGAGTATTGCCGAAAAATTACGCATTTTTTAAAGATCCCTGCATACTACCGACAGCTAGCATAACCTCTTGCATGAAGATTCGCAACAACGACACGCAACGACGACCCCCATGATTTTGATTGCGAAATAGAATACGAGGCATTTGCGCCAAGAAACCGCGTAGGCGTTAAGTGTCGTGGTCCTAGCAAAATTGCAAGGGTGAATAAAATTAATGCTATCGCAAAAAAATCACGAAAATCCCGTAATCGCAACTTTGCCGGGTTCGTCCCGTTAACAAGTGTAATATTAAGGATATCTCTTTTTCGCAACTCCGTTATAATTACTTCCTATTTTCCTGCAGTTTTGCTAGCTTTTGCTTGCCCGGGTTTCTTTAGAAGTTTTTAAATGTATCCTAAAGACCCTAAAGTTTAGACCACCTTAAAGATTTCCTTGACGTTCGTCCGGATCCGGTTCTTCTTGGGTGCAGGAGCCGTTCGAGCACCCCCGTTCTGATCGGCGAGAGCTTTTCGGAGACCGATCGGGAGTCCAGAGTTGTAGCCAGTGGAGCCCATGAAAGCCTTGCTCAGCGATCCTAAACATAAACATAAAACCCTATCGATTTTGTAAGATAATTTAAAATGCGCTGCTGAACGCTCTCTTAAATTGATGAGCTCAGCGCCAACACCAAGGCTCAAAAATTTTTGCGAATTTTTTAAAGCGCGCGATACCGATCTGATTCACGATTTAGCTCTAGCTAAGACTAGCGCTATCAAGTAAGTTGATGGTATCACGACCTACCACTAATATTAATCGTATCATACAGCCTTGAAGATCTATCCCTCGGGATCGTTCCATCAATTGCTTCCCTCGGTCGATTCAGCGAGAGTCTCGTGTGCACGTAGGCAAACTCGCCCCAGATGACTAAAAAAATGGGATATGGTTAAGCTTTAGATCTAGTAATTAAGCTTGAAAAATTCTGAAGCTCATACAGCTTTAAGCTGCCCGCGGAGCTTTATGACCCCTGTAATGGTTGCTTTATCACGCCTCACGCTGGTTTCATATAAAGTTTATTGCAGCGCTACCTGTGATAGTATGATAGTTTTTGAGCTGAGGTTGATGCTCAAAGTTCATAAAATCCATAGATTTAGGATGGCTTAAGAATACGGCTTAGGTTTCGAAGATGTTTATGACCTGAGGATTTTGAAGATGTTTTTCCTGAAGATGTTTATGACCCGTGCTATAGCAAGCTTCAACCTAGTTTCATATAAAATTTATTGTGAGCTGTGATATTTCGGTTTTTTTTTTGAGCTGAGGTTGATGCTCAAAGTTCATAAAGTCCATAGATTTAGGCTGGCTTAAGAATAGGGCTTAGGTTTCGTTGCTTAATTTTTCTTGCCCTCCAAAGCAACTAAAAATTTCTAAAGCTTTTAGAACTCACTCGCATCATTCAGCTGATGCTCAATGGCCGTGGCCCAACTGTCGGCAATGTGTTTTGAGTCGCTGGTCAAAATGTATTGCAACATTGGGCTGTCTGTCGTCGGCTCGATGAGCAGCACCACCGAATCGTCCAAATTACACGGGGTCACGCGGGAACCCTAAAAACGAATTGTTTTTGGCGTGACATCGTCAAGCCAGGGAAAGAAAAGGCGTAGGTTTGGCAATAAAAAGATTTACTGGGGTGATGACAATGCGATGTAGGGTTTGCTCATTTCCAGGTTTCAGCCGGACGTCATTATTTACAAAGCACCGTAGGACACCAGCCTGAAACCGGGAAATAATTTTTGATTAAGTGATTTTTCTGAGATTTTTTCTTCCACATAGCCTTTTCACATTTTCTTTTCATAATTTTTCTAAGATGACTTTTAGATTTGGCTTAATGCTCACAGCTTCATTTTCAAGAAGTTTCAAATTATTTTAGTTTTTTATTTCGCTATCTTGCTTTATTAAAAGTTTATGTAAGTAAAAGTTTAGAACTGATTTCTGTATTTTTCAAATTTTTAACGTTTATAATCTCGTAATGGTTTTTTGCAGAGTTTTTTTCATTACACGGTATCCTTCAAATCGCAAGATACTACATGCAAAATATATCACTTTCGCTCAGACTACTTCCAACCCTTTTAGTCGTCTAAAAACGTCTAGCAATGGGTGGGGGGGCAGTTGTGGGCTTTGGGCGATTATCCCCCGGATTTCGATCCCACCCCCGGGTTACGGTAGCCGTTCGGGGTCGCAAAAATGGAGGAGAGTAGACACAGCTATGTAAGTTTTTTTTCCCGCGCGTCCAGTAAATTCTAGATTCTTAAATGTCCTAGAAAATTGTTGGGTCCTAGAAATCTTCCTCAAACATCATTATAAAATGGCCTCACGGGCATTGATTTTCTCAAAGAATCTCTGCTAGCTTGCCCAGGCTAAGCCACCAAGTCTTGAAATTCCAACCACCTGTAATCGGCAGCGAACGTGTTGAAAAACGCTGTCGCTATGCTTGGGGCGCACCGTCAAAATTCCGTCTGCCAAGGGATGCAAAACTGGAAAGTGTGGTTTTTAGGGTTTAATTAACATAAAAGATAGAAAATTTTTTACCAAAAACTATTGCTTAATGTCTAATACCCTGTAATTATCACAAACCTGAATGGGGTAAACAGACGAGGCGACAAAGGACATGCCCGTAGAGGGGTGGGCCGGCAAGATCGGCTGAAAAACGTGTTAAGGTGAGGAGCAAATGGCCTAGCTGTCTTGCTCTCTCTTTTCTCTCTCTCTCTCTCTCTCTCGCTCTCTCTCTCTCTCGTTCTCTCTCTCGTTCTCTCGTTCTTTCTGTCTGACAGTCTCCCTCTCTCTTTCTCTCTATTTATCTCCCTCTCTCACTCTCTCTCTTTCTCTCTTTCTCTCTTTCTCTCTTTCCCTCTCTCATCTCTCTCTCTTTCTCTCTTTCTCTCACGCTCTCTCTCGTTCTTTCTGTCTCTTTCTCTTTCTGTCTTTCTCTCGCTCGTTGCAAAACTCACCAAAAAGCCGACACTTTGAGATCATGAATTTTGCAATCTTCACTGGCATCCGTTAAGACGAACAGGCAACGAGCAATCAAATTAAAATGACTCCCTCCAATCGTTTCCGGGATCTGCCGCCTTTGGTCTTGGAGTTGCGATTTCTAAAAATAGTAAAATTAGATCAAAAGACCCTGATTAAAACGACGGAGGCATGAAACCTTGAAAGTTGCAAGAAATTCGGTAGGTTTTCAATTCTGTGCCAGTGTATGCTAGCTCTTTAACGGCGTCACCTGCCATTCTCAAATTAATCTGAATATACATGTAGCACTGACCACCTGCAGGCCAAACTTCTTGCCAAAACTTCTGCTTATCCGCTGCCGCAGACTCCCGGAATCTGAAAGACGGGATTATAAAAAATGCGGAAATACGATGTGAATCTGCCCTTTAATCGGGGTATTTAGAAATTCGAATTTCCCTAATGCCATCAAAATACGGTTTTTACGGCATGGTTAGAACATTGGATTACAGTGGGTTCAAGACGGAATAACAATAAAGAGATTGTCTAGACAAAAAGACATCTCACAGACATCCGAGAGAGGGAGAGAGAGAGAGCGAGAAAGAGAGAAAGTGAGAAAGAGAGAGAGCGAGTGTGAAAGAATGAGAGCGAGATAGAAAATCCTACTATCATTTCCGGCATCCGTTCTCGCCGCATACACGCACAGCTCGATGCAAAAATCGTCGGCCTCATTTTGGCTAAACGTTTAAATGAATTGTTTAAGCGTTTTATACGGATTTCAAGACCTTTATGGTGATACTAAGATTTTTATTCTTTTTCTTTAGCACTAAAAACCCACAAAACAAACGATTCCGGAAACGCCACATCCGTATCGAGGCGATTGATATTGGCAATTATCTTGCTCTCAAACAACCCCGACTTCGTTTGGACCGTATAAAACATGGAATAGGTCCTGCTTTCTAAAATGTGGCTCTTTGAATACGAAATACACCTATGTACGAACCTCCTTTTGCGAAATGTTGCTCGCCATTCCAGGCAAGCGGGATTTGGATCTGGGAAATGCCAAGGGTTGCTCGACTCCGCAAGACATCGCAGTCCGAACTAAAATCTAGCAAATAACGTTAGTTTCAAGGTGCAAATAGGCATACTGTGTAGTTAAACCTACCCTAAAATGACAAAATACCTGTATAAATGATGCATCTCCGGCTCCTCCTCCAATAATGCAAAAAGTTGCTCCTTCTTTTTCTGGACGATCCGCTGCTTCTCGGCGTCGAGGACGTCGGACGGCCAGGAGGAGTCGGGGCACTAAGGCAAAAATTTAGATATTAACAAGAAAAAAATTACTCCTTAATTAAAACCATTAATTTATGCCTTTGAAAAAGGGGCTGAAAAGCTAACACGAATTACAATAATGAGGTTAAGTTTTTTTCAGATTGGGAACTTCCGATTAAAGTTTATGCAATTAATGGGAGGCTCAAAAATTGGAAAAGGTAAGCATAAGCATATATCAGGTTGGAAGGTAGGTCCTGTCGCCGAGATTTCGATGAGCTGCCTAAGGTCGCAGATAGCATCATCTTTGACATGCGATATGTCATTTGGTAGCCCTCGATCTAAATTTCTTCCGGAGGAAGGTCCTGGGCCAATAAAATGAAGGGGGGTTGAGATACAGGTCCGAGAAGTTTTTGGCGAAATTTGGGAAAAGTGTTTTTGCAAGTTATCTCTGCATAGAGCAATTTGCATGCGATACCTTGAGCGCCAATCGATAGCTCTCGAGGAGTAGATAAAGATGGATGTTGAGATCGTCCAAATCGGAAACAAGATGGCTGAGATACGGTCCTTTGAAATTTGAGCCATTTCTTAGAACTTTTCTCGAAATCCTATACATTTTATCAAAATCCTCATGTGGTGTTCAAAAATCGAGCGGCAAGTTTTGGCTCGTTCTTGCCTGATGTATGGGATTTCGAGAAAAGTTCTAAGAAATGGGCTAAATTTCAGAGGCCCATATCTCGGCCATCCAGTGACCAATTTTGAAAATCTCAACATCCATCGATATCTACTCCTCGAGAGCTATCGATTGGCGCTCAAGGTATCGCATGCAAATTGCTCGGCGCAGAGAATAACTTGCAAAAACACTTTTCCCAAATTTCGCCAAAAACTTCTCGGGCCTGTATCTCGACGCCTCTTCATCTTAGTGGCCCAGGACCTTCCTCCGGAAGAAATTTAGATCGAGGGCTACCAAATGACATATCGCATGTCAAAGATGATGCTATCTGCGATTTTAGGCAGCTCTTCGAAATCTCGGCGACAGGACTTACCTTCCAACCTGATAGGTAAGTTAAGCCGCTTTTTAAATCCTAAAGTATTGCTTTTTAATTGGGGTATTCCCATTACATGACCAGAGCTCCTCGAAAAATAGTTTAGGTGGAAAATGACAAATTTTATATAAATCAAAATATTAGATATGAAAACAATCCAGTTTCATGAGTCACAACTAGTGGTTTTGCCGCGGCGAAAACTATCGAATACGATTGGCGAGGCGCGTCCGGCCGGCCGCCCAGCTTGAATTGCGCGTGTGGCGCGGGGGGACCGGGCTGTGCCCCTTCCGGTGTTAGTGGTGTGAAATGCGCATTTATTAGCTGCGAAATGGAATTGGGATTGTTGTAGGCGGGTGCCAGTAGTCTCAGGTCGTACTGGTTTTGGGGCAAAAATGACTTCAGTTTAAGATCATCTCAAGGAAATCGATTAGAAAGGAATTTAGGGGAAAAGGGAGGTATTTGAACGTATCAGATTGTTGGTAAACGTGGCGCATAAAAAGGAAAAATTTTAGTTACAAATAATTTTGCGAAATACAACATTTCTAAGAATTTTTTAGGTTATGCGTTTGCTTTTTGTACGCCCCCGCCCTTCTACAGCCGAAGGGTCTCACAGTTCTTTGGTGATTTTGGCTGATTTTGTCAGGATTGTGCAACGCCATCCGATTGAGCGTCGAAAATAGACTAAAAGTTTTAATTTAAGCCTACAATAATGTAAATTAAAAAATTTATAGCCAAAAACTTCCGGCTAGGGGGCTAAATAAACCGTAGCCGTTTTGGGTCTCAAAAATACACGCGGGGCCAAGTAAAGGTATGCAAGAAAACGAAAATGAAAGGTCTGACGAGAGACAGGAGAGAGAGAGAGCGAGAGCGAGAGAGAGAGCCAGAACGACCTTGTTTTGATAAATGAAATGAACGCCGAAAAAGCCCATTCCATTCTATCAATATTCCCCAGCAATAAAATTTGATTGACAAAATTTCACAAGCCTGGTCGGCCGGGGTTGTGGGCGGCAGCCCCTGCTTTTGCGTGGTGTGTCCGGCATAATAATAACTGGGTAGAGAAAGCCCTGTGCTATCACTTGCAGCCAACAGGCATGAACCTACTGGGACAGCTGATTCATCGCCAGGGGTTCTGATTACGACGCTGCGTTGAAAGTTTGGAAGGAAATTGAGGGTGGTGGTGAGGGAAAATGAACCAATCGTTCAATGAAATGGTAATCGTCGATTTATTTTTCCATTTTTAAAGGAACCTGGAAGCGAGAGTTGGTGAGTTCGAGAAAGAGAGAGAGACAGAGGGAGAGAGAGAGAGAGACAGAGGGAGAGAGCGAAAGAGATAAAGAAAAAGATTACGCCCCATCAACACTTACTGATGACTTTGACGAGAGAGACATCTTTTCCACTGGGCCTCACATAAAAACGGCTTCTTGGCGCAGCTGCTCCTGGAACTGAAATGCCTTTTTATGGATCCGAAGCATCAATTTGCCCAAAACACATTATTTGCATTGCAAGCCGATACGAAGTTTCCAAAAATGGATATACAAGAGCCAAAGTCTCTGGAAACTTTGCAGAAATTTTCAGAGGACGGCTAGCAAAGCCTCTGCTGGTTCAGGAGGACATATATTGCCATAAATATCGGGGATGGAAAGTGCTTCTCCTGCCCCCAATATGGGCTGCTGCTCACCATTCTAGTCTTCCCATTTTCCGGTCATTTTCCGGCCGGCTGTTGTAGGGGGGATTCTTTGGCTGTTATTTTTGCGCTTGCATCCAGTGCATTTTCGGGGCAATAACAGGGACGCAAAAAAAGCGGAAAAAGGGTTAAAAACTAACCCTTAAACGTTCCACGAAGTAAAAAGTAATTAATCAGGAGCAGGGAATTTTTAGAAACTTTTCCTTTAATGAGTAAAGTATATCTATCAAAATTAAATTACAACCGCACAACTACGTTCAGTCGTCACTACGCTTCGACAGTTTACTACAAATTACGTCTGATACGCAGAATATTATAAACACACAGCTCAAATTCCGCGCCTACGCAATGCTCCGCTCGTGCCGCCCGCTTAGTTCCAGCCTAGTTTATCGTGGAATTTGAGAGTTTATGGCCAGGACAGTCCGACTCGCACCGACAAGCCACCCAAAATCGAGAGCGACCAGCAGCCCGGGCTGAAAACAGCAATTACCGGAAAAAGCGCGAAAAGAGAAAAGCAAGGGGGAGAAGCCAAAAAAAAGCCCTGCCAAGCCAGACTATCCCCGTACCGGGAACTTATACCAAAAAATCGATTGCACCCTCGATTTCAAATGTTCACGAATGAATATTTCGCGAAAATGGAGACGTTGATATGAGTCTTGTCTGGCCAGGGAACGAAAAGAAGAGAAAGATCTTGCCGTGTGTGGCAATCGGAACAGCACGAGGTGAAGGTATGGAAAAGTGGTTATTTCCCTCCTCACCACCACCTCGCCTTTTTGCGAGAACAACAACGCGTTTCCTGTCCACATCGAGAATGGGTTGATCCAATTTGTGACCCAAGGAAAGTCAGCGGTAAGCTTTTTGTCATAAAAAAGGAGCATGACCGGAAGCGTCTCAAACGTTGCTTAAAGGGACCAGACAGACAACCCCATAGCTTTTTTTTTGGCAATCAGTTTTCATATTTACTAGTCCTTCGGCTATCAGTTTTGAGGTTCTTCCGAATCTCCGCCGGTCGGGGACCACATTCTGGGCTTCGCTTGCCAGCTTCGCCTTGATATTAAGGTTAAGCTCGTGGTCACCAAGGTTTTGGGGGGATCAGTTACTTACTTCAGCTTTCGAGTAGGCTTAGGCTTAGCTTGGCACCTTTGCGTAATTTTGAGATGCGACTGATGATTTTCATCGACTTTGGTTCGGGCGGGCTTGGACCAGATTTTCCGCTTAGTTTAGGAGCCTCGGCTTCAGCTTGGGATTAGCATGGCTCCGGCTTCACCTCAGGCTTTGCTTAGGCTTAGCTTAGACATATTTAGGCGTGGCTTGCCCGGGCTTGGCTTAAGGTAGAACTATTTCGGCTGGATTTGGCTTTGGCTTAGCCTAGGCGTAGGCTCAGGTCTGGGTGTTTCTGAGCTCAACTTCGGCGCGTCGCCATAGCTTCGACTTATTCTTTGCCATTCCAGGGTAAATTTTAGGAACGAATAAGTAGTAAAACGCCAAAAGCAAAGAAGTGGCTCTCTCCAAAACGATATGTTTTTTCGAAGATGCTGATTTGTACGTAATGGGAGAGGTCAGGCAATTTTTGAAAGTGCGGTGAGGGCGTGTGGATCGGAACTGGCTAATTTGAAAATAGACGCCTCCTACAGTTCCGCGTTGGGGACAGTAATTAGAAAGAGGGAAAATGATCAACCTAAAAACGGCTGGCAAAAGCAGGCGGCGGATGGATCTTTCGACCCGCCGGGTTTAATGGGAAACCCGGAGGGGGAGCGGCTCCCAGGCGGGGGAGAGCCTAAAGAATAGATAGATAGATTGAGCGGAAAAAGCACAAGAAAACGTGGAAAACTAGGGTAAGTGGGGAGAACAAGGGCAATTTGTCCGGGGTTCAGCGGAGGGGAACGGTGTTGCGATTGAGAGGTGTTCCAAATTGGGAGGGTTTTCCAGAGTTTTTTCGTCGCTGTTTACGGTTTGTTTTTTTACTGGTTCTAAGAAATAAAAAATTGAAACCGGATGTGGGTTGAGCGTTAAAAGCGGTCTATAAGAACATAAATCCAGCCTATTTTGACATGGTCTTATAAAAATTCTTCAAATTTTTATGAGCCGAGTGACCTGGATTCTTCTAGTTTCAGAAAATTTACCTGGCATCATCTTTTCGTATTTAAAGGAATTTTTAAGGCAGGAACCCACAGCTGAAGTTTATCTGATATTTGAAGATGCTATAAAGCAACAAGACAACAACTTAAAATCTGTGAAGCAAACAAAAGGTACTGAAAGTCATAAGTCCATAAGTCAGAATCCGGCTCATTCCCCGAAAACAACAAGTTTATCGATTTTTTCTTGAGAATTTCACCAAAACTCTCGATTTCTAGCAAGAAAAACTTAATAAAATAAGGTTAAACTTATTAAAATGAAGAGTTTCGTATTTTTGGGCTTTTAGTTTGGTCAGGCAAAAACATATCAAAATTCAATTTTTCTATATTGTAGGGTTTCTAACGTGGCTGTATTCAGCCAATAACAACATTTCATTCGAAGAGCTGCCCAAAATCCAGCCAAAGAACATAAAGTTTTACATCAACTACGTGCGACACCGAAACGGCGATGTCCATCTGGTTGTAACACTCGACCCCCGAAGGCTGGTAGTTCAGCTGAAGATGCTGCTTCTGCGTTGGCTGCGGTGGATACTCATCGGATCGTTTTTTGTCGGTCCACTTTTTGTATTTGCAGAACAGCTCGACGACCACAGGGACCTCACCTCCAGTCTCCATCCCTTTACTCAACCGCACACCTCCTCCTCCGCCACTCCACTCCACTCTATCAATTTTACCCTATGGCCGTGGAAAGTGGCCTGGACAGGAGAAACACGTGAAGAAAAGTGTTTTTTTGAAAGATTCGCTGATAATTATCGGAAGGATTTCCATAAAATAAATGCAATTGCGAATATTTACTCCTAGACAATTTTTGTGAGCTTTTCAGCAACCTCGTCACCGATTGTCAGGTTGGAGAATACGACTAAAGCTTGTGCCCGTCAACGTTAAGCGACTAAAATAATAAATAGCACTCTCCATGGTGAAATATGATGACGATTATACCTGATGCGACTTCGGGCCCACCGGATCATAGTCTCTTTGTACATCTCATGGCGCCCCAAATTGGCAAAATTTGAAATTTCCTGATAAATGTCATAAGAGATTTTTGCAAACAGCGCGTCGCTAAAAATTTATAGTTTATCAGAGGGTGGGAAAACTACCGCAATGCGTTTTTCCGCGATACTCCGGTAGTTACGTTGACGCCAATTATAGCAACCTTAATGACAAAATAGGTTTGATCCATTCATCTTTTACTCTCTCCTTTGAAGCCATGGCAAAAGGGCTAATTTTCAGAATTTGGTACGAATCGCTACCGTAGGTAAATATTTAGCGGGAGTCTGAAACTTTGATATGTTAAAAATAGACAATCAATATGATATTACTGGCCGTGTATTTTTAACCTACCTAATATCAATTCCTAGTAGCTTCAAATAAAGCTCCAATTGCCCAAAAATAATATCCAGGTTCTCCTCTCGGATCTTATCAAACACAAAACTAAAACTTCTGAGAAAAAAATTCTGCTCGAAATATCTGCATACCCTGGAGGTAGGACATCGTTTTCGGCTCCTCCGGTTAATCTTTGTAGACGTAAAGATGCACATAGATCTTGTATTTTCTTGCCGAACCCCGTGCATTTTGGAAAATGCCTCCAAGACTTGATGCATACCTGGCGCCCTGATGGCTTTTCCGTGTTTAAGTATAAAGATATGTTGGATGCCTAAAAATAAAAAAGAGAGAAACAACTCAAAATATTAAAGAGATTAATTAATATCAAGCAAAACTAGACTTAATTAAACTTTATTTTAAATTGTTCACTCTGTTCAGAAAACAGTTTTACAACCGTTTTTTTTTTGGTTCTGCAACTATATATAGCGTGGGTTAAGAAACCTCATAAATTTAACAATACACAAAACTTAAAAAAAAGCGAATGTGTAACAATATTTGTGCTCAACAATGCCAAAAGCAGCAAAAAATATTATTTTGTTAAGTTTTAAAAATTAATTTTTTTGAGGGAAGTGTAGTAGTTGCCTAATCTTTTGCGGAGTACATTATTACTTTTACCAGGTCCGGGCCGCTAGTATCTGCGATACAAATTTGTCCACCTCTTCCCATCAACGCGGTCCCACGTGAAGCGGCGTAGATATGATAACTACAAAAATCAAGTAATTTTTTCGCAGCCAACAAATTCAGCAGCGGCTTGACGATCACCCAATATTGTGCGGCCGCAATACAGGAATACAGGTGTAGCTCGGCAATTCGGAATACACTTTTTAGATGAAATTTAATGCCCTTGGATTTGCCGAGTTATGGGGATTTTCTTTCTCCAGTTCGGTTAGAGCCTTTTTGAGCTCTGAATTTGTAGCGGCGTAGTGAAACATTTTTGGTAGTAATTAGCGCTTGTAGCTTTCGAGAAATCTCGCACGGGAAAGAAGAACCGTCTAAACGTCCATATTTCAGTGCCGTTGATCTTGCAATAATTGATAAGCCGCGGGGTGCCGAAAAGGGATGACACCCGAGTGCCCAAAAATCGATGGTACTAGTGTGGGAGTATTTGACATTGGCGTTAAAAGCGTCTCTGGGCTCCTTTTAATGGCACTGACATGCCATGGTTTGGATTTGCTAGCTTTCCGTTGGTTTGGCATCTGTAGTATTATTTTTGCCGCATATTTTGTCGTAATATTTTTGACGCAACATTTTTGCATCATAGATATATCATTGAATCAATTATCTAAAAACTTTCTAAGTTTCCAACTCGGCCTGTACACCAATCGTCAAATTCGAAAGAAAACGTCGCCTGCTTCCCGCCAAGCTTCAGCGGCTATAAATCAGTCAATTATCAGGAATTCAATTGAAAAACTAAAAAACTTGAGCTAATAGATATCAGTTTTTCTATATAAATTATAATAATATAATACAATTATAATGAAAAATAATTATGTGTTGAAAAGGGTTTTCTTCTGCAATAAATAATAAATTATATCTAGGTTATCAAAACTGTAATGAGAGAGAGGCAGAGAGAGAGAGAATGGAGTGATAGAGGGGCAGGGAGAGAGAAAGAGAGAGAGAATGAGAGGAGGAGACCTGAAAAGACGAGAGACAGACCTGAGAGAAAAGAGGAGAGAAAAGAGAGCGAGAGAGAGATATGCGATGCAGAGCGGTAAACTTCTTCATTCAAAATCCAAAATCCTGCATAAATCGAGAAAATTTTCATGTAAAGTGTTTTGCATATCGCAATGCCTTCTTGGACTGTTTACCACTATAGTTTTCTATATTTTCGGTAGTCGGGTTATTCCCGAAGAGATGCTGCGGACCCTGGGTGGCGCTTTTTTCTTCCGGGTAGGGTTAATTATGCCAATTGCAGGAAAGAGCAAAACTGCATCTTTGTTGTACTATGTTTAAAAGAAGAAGAACCGTCCTTCGTGCCAATAAATGATGATGAGAATACATCCTCCGCGTCTACGCCTGGGCCGGCCTTTTCGGCCGCCTCCGGCTCGTGCTCGTCGATTTGGAGTTCTGCGCGAAGCCATATTTCCCGGGCACAGTTTTTCCTTACGCGAAATAAAACAGAACCAATTT